TTACAACCCCATCTATAAATATATTAAACAACCATGGTGACATCACACATCCTTGTCTAAGGCCTACTTTTACTGGGAAATAATTTCCCTCTTTCCTATGTACTCTAACTTGAGCCTCACTATCCTTGTAAAAACTCTTCACTGCTTTCAGTAACCTACCTCCTACACCATACACCTGCAACATCTGCCACATTGCCCCCCTATCCACCCTGTCATACGCCTTTTCCAAATCCATAAATGCCACAAAGACCTCTTTAGCCTTATCTAAATACTGTTCACTTATATGTTTCACTGTAAACACCTGGTCCACACCCCCCCTACCTTTCCTAAAGCCTCCTTGTTCATCTGCTATCCTATTCTCAGTCTACTTTTAATTCTTTCAATAATAACTCTACCATACACTTTACCAGGTATACTCAACAGACTTATCCCCCTATAATTTTTGCACTCTCTCTTGTCCCCTTTGCCTTTATACAAAGGAACTATGCATGCTCTCTGCCAATCCCTAGGTACCTTACCCTCTTCCATACATTTATTAAATAATTGCACCAACCACTCCAAAACTATATCCCCACCTGCTTTTAACATTTCTATCTTTATCCCATCAATCCCGGCTGCCTTACCCCCTTTCATTTTACCTACTGCCTCATGAACTTCCCCCACACTCACAACTGGCTCTTCCTCACTCCTACAAGATGTTATTCCTCCTTGCCCTATACACGAAATCACAGCTTCCCTATCTTCATCAACATTTAACAATTCCTCAAAATATTCCCTCCATCTTCCCAATACCTCTAACTCTCCATTTAATAACTCTCCTCTCCTATTTTTAACTGACAAATCCATTTGTTCTCTAGGCTTCCTTAACTTGTTAATCTCACTCCAAAACTTTTTCTTATTTTCAACAAAATTTGTTGATAACATCTCACCCACTCTCTCATTTGCTCTCTTTTTACATTGCTTCACCACTCTCTTAACCTCTCTCTTTTTCTCCATATACTCTTCCCTCCTTGCATCACTTCTACTTTGTAAAAACTTCTCATATGCTAACTTTTTCTCCCTTACTACTCTCTTTACATCATCATTCCACCAATCGCTCCTCTTCCCTCCCGCACCCACTTTCCTGTAACCACAAACTTCTGCTGAACACTCTAACACTACATTTTTAAACCTACCCCATACCTCTTCGACCCCATTGCCTATGCTCTCATTAGCCCATCTATCCTCCAATAGCTGTTTATATCTTTCCCTAACTGCCTCCTCTTTTAGTTTATAAACCTTCACCTCTCTCTTCCCTGATGCTTCTATTCTCCTTGTATCCCATCTACCTTTTACTCTCAGTGTAGCTACAACTAGAAAGTGATCTGATATATCTGTGGCCCCTCTATAAACATGTACATCCTGAAGTCTACTCAACAGTCTTTTATCTACCAATACATAATCCAACAAACTACTGTCATTTCGCCCTACATCATATCTTGTATACTTATTTATCCTCTTTTTTTTAAAATATGTATTACCTATAACTAAACCCCTTTCTATACAAAGTTCAATAGTTCCTACTTTAGCATTCAGGTCCCCTACCACAATTACTCTCTCACTTGGTTCAAAGGCTCCTATACATTCACTTAACATCTCCCAAAATCTCTCTCTCTCCTCTGCATTCCTCTCTTCTCCAGGTGCATACACGCTTATTATGACCCACTTCTCGCATCCAACCTTTACTTTAATCCACATAATTCTTGAATTTACACATTCATATTCTCTTTTCTCCTTCCATAACTGATCCTTCAACATTACTGCTACCCCTTCCTTTGCTCTAACTCTCTCAGATACTCCAGATTTAATCCCATTTATTTCCCCCCACCGAAACTCCCCTACCCCCTTCAGCTTTGTTTCGCTTAGGGCCAGGACATCCAACTTCTTTTCATTCATAACATCAGCAATCATCTGTTTCTTGTCATCTGCACTACATCCATGCACATTCAAGCATCCCAGTTTTATAAAGTTTTTCTTCTTCTCTTTTTTAGTAAATGTCTACAGGAGAAGGGGTTACTAGCCCATTGCTCCCGGCATTTAGTCGCCTCATACGACACGCATGGCTTACGGAGGAAGATTCTTTTCCACTTCCCCATGGACAATAGAAGAAATAAAGAAGAACAAGAGCTATGTAGAAAAAGGAGAAAAACCTAGATGTATGTATATATATATGCATGTGCATGTCTGTGAAGTGTGACCAAAGTGTAAGTTGGAGTAGCAAGATATCCCTGTTATCTAGCGTGTTTATGAGACAGAAAAAGAAACCAGCAATCCTACCATCATGCAAAACAGTTACAGGTTTCTGTTTCACAGTCATCTGGCAGGACGGTAGTACTTCCCTGGGTGGTTGCTGTCTACCAACATAATTGCTTTTATTTATAAAAAACTGGGCTTATACAGTATTGTATTACCAAATAAATTGAAGGACTTTATAAACTTTTCTTTTGTTTGTAGCTTTGTAATTCTGATGAATTTTTTAATAAGCAATGAAATACACTTCATATTATAATTTTAGGCTAAGTGAACTGAGATTAGTGGTTTTGCTGCTTAGAAATTTGGAATATCATTTGGTCTCATAAGTGCCAATGAATTAATTTTCCATTTATTCCAAAAACATAAGTATGATTGTGTGCCTTTTTTCTACATACTCCCTGGGAAACATTGTATAAGACATTTTCATGCAGTATTTTAAAATCATGCATCTTCTAACACACACAGCATATATTTGAAAAATTATACATAGTTGATCATGTGCAATGGCCTTCTGTAAGAAACTAAGTAAAGCATTAATACCAATATACTTTATCAGTACCTTTATATTAAAAAAAACTTTCTGGATGCTTCCCCAGTCAAATGGATTTGCTCCAAAAATATATATTTGATAAGATTTAAAAACAGTATGGCTGAAATACATAAAATTATCAGCAGTTTATACAGACTTCTTGTTAGTTCTTAACTCTTTCACTGTCCAGATCCCTGAAATTTTCTTTTCAGTGCCCACTTATTAAAAAAAAAATACTGAAATGGTAGAGAATATTTTTGTAAAGGTAATGACACTGAAAGTGCAAAATTTTATGGAAAACCTGCAGAATTATCCAGGCAAATTGCTAGCGGTCTGGGCACAAATTCCACATCAACGATTATGCCTACTTTTGAGTCAATTCTATTGTTCTATCCAACCAATTTCTTAGTTATTTCACTAGAATACCTTCCATTCTATCACTTAAACACAAGAAATTGCCCATTTAACTATTACAGCCTTATAAAGTGCACAGAAGTCAGTAATATGGCCAATTTTACATAAAATTAAAAAAAATATCAATTTAAAAATAATTCCAAAATAATGTTGACATTCCTGGCACTAAAACATTTCCTCTATTCATGTCCCCAGGCCTCTCCTATATTACACTAGACTTCCATTTTGAATTCAAGATGACAAAAATAGAAGATTTACTCTATTTCTCTGATAAAATATAACCAGGAATGATTGGTCATGGTTTACAGCATTCCAATAATTGAATCAGACCTATTAAAAACCCATAAAACAAACTAGGGGTGCTGGGAGGGCCTTAACCCTCCTCAGGAAAATTGGCAAAAATCTAATATTTCCATTACTCTGAGCCTGATTTCAAGCAACTTCTGTTCCTGAAATCAACCAAAATCATTTCTGTCTCAGTAGTATGTCTTCCATTCTATAAAATAATACCAAGTAACAGCCAATAAAACCATCATGGAAAACACATCATTTTTGCTATTTTATTCCAAACACAGGGTCAGTTCTTGCTTTTTCTATAATGTACTGCATGGGGCAGGATTTCTTTCATACTGTACCCCTTCACTGCACAAGACCCAATCTCTCATACATAGTTCAAAATTCACTGCTTACAGCTTATCTGAGCTGAGCCGAGCTCATGACATAGAACTGTGAAGAACCCCTGACCTCAATGATGGAGTTCTATATGATGGCCATTAAAAGGGTTAATTTCTCATCAGCTGTATTTAATACATATTTTTTAACAGAGTAAAAATACTTTCCCAGCTTGTCTCTTGGAAATTATGTTTATTATACAAAATATTGATGTGATACAAAACTAAAGCATGAGAATTCATACATTCTTAAATGAACCTGAATTGCCATGCTGGTGGCCTTCAGCTATGCATAAACAATAACTGAATTTCAAACTGTTAAAAATATTAATGCAAGCACAAACAAAAGTCTATGGAAAACAAAAACTTAAGAATAAGAGTATTTCTATGAGGATTAATGTAATCTCTAGTTAATATCCTCAACATTAGCACAAGGATGTGATGGAAATGAGAAGCAGTACCAATAGTTAACACAATCTTTCATGTACATCCATTATTTCTGCACAAACCAAAGACTTGTTTGTTACAATTACTGTACACTGCACCATGAATACCTAACCATGCAGCTGAGGCAAAGATTGCATTTACCAATTATAACCTCACCTTTAATGGTAAACAATTTTACTGTTAAACTTCTAATTATTATGCATGCAGCACCCAAATCAAATTCAACTTTTAAAGTGAAGCTTACAGTGAATTAGGTAATTACAATGCAACCAATCTCAATCTCAATTTTAATCAAATAATATTATTATTTTCTAGTGTTCTCACGAATGTCAAGAAATGATTGTGCACTTTCCAGTGGCTGGCTTATTCACAATAACCTACAGTACTATTTTTGGGTTCCAGTGTGTACATTTTTTTTTTTTTTGTTTTGTTTTTAACAAGTCGGCCATCTCCCACCAAGGCAGGGTGACCCAAAAAGAAAGAAAATACTTTCATCATCATTCAACACTTTCACCTCACTCACACATAATCACTGTTTTTGCCGAGGTGCTCAGAATACAACAGTTTAGAAGTGTATAAAGATACACAACATATCCCTCCAAACTGCCAATATCCTAAACCCCTCTTTTAAAGTGCAGGCATTGTACTTCCCATTTCCAGAATTACAAGTCAAACCCAGGAATTCTCGTGATTCAACTTTTTTTTTTTTTTTTTTACTAAGGTCATTCAGCAAATACTTTTTTTTGTGCCTACTGTTTTTTACCTCATATACCCCAAAACTGAAAAGTAACCATCTCATTCAAAATATGCTTTTTCTTACTTACCAAAGAGCCATTATTTAAAGCAGTTAAGCAAAAAAAAAAATTTTTTAAATAATTTGTACACACAAAACTTTTATTACCCATGTGAATTACAAGTTGTACTATATTTAATAACAGCCTTTTTTCCTTAAACTTTAATTGCCCTTTTACTTATATATCCTGCCAAATACGTAACTATATGATGTTTTTATCCATCCTGAATCATTATCAAGTAGCAAGTACGCATCCAGGGCAAACATCTAATTTTATAGCTAAACTTTTCTTTGTGTGTTTCCATAGCATTGTACATTTCATGACATTAAGTTTGCTGTTATACAATATTTTATTTTATTATTATTATTATTATTATTTTTTGCAATTACCCCTTGGTCTATTTCACACCATTTCCCTAGTATACAAACCCATAAATCTTTAGTAAATATATTTCTACCTAACCTAAGGCCTTAAAACTTTAGCTAATACATTTATGCTTGTTATTCACACACTATCATTTTCTTAACACATGCACTTCAATAACAGCTGAAAAAACAACTGGAATGGTCAATTGCATTATCCAATTTTGCTCATCATTTATGTTCTCTACAAAATAGATGAATGAGGCTTTATAATTTATAAAAGTAGTCCAGTAATATCAACAGCTGATTATTTACTAACCTACTGAGGAAAAGGATCCTAAAGTTGGAAAGAAATAATTGCTAAATTTTATTTGTCAACAGTTTTAAATTAATCAACATTCTAGGGAATACAATTTTAATTTGATTTAAACTAATCTTTAAAAATTGAAACTGTTAATCTATAAATGGCTCCAGGAATCATTGCTCCCATAGACTGGTCTCACATCAGGCCTCCTAAATTTGGCAAACAAATATTACTGGAATAAGAACTTAAGAAAAATGCAGGAAAGCAAGACAGGTCAACAGTATACTGAATGTAACAAAAGTTAGTAAGAGGTACCTGCCATTTTCCATATACATCTTAAAAATGATCATGTTCTTGCTGTTCAATTAGCCAGTTATTTATGAAGCTGTGTTCCAACTGATGTGGAAATGTAAAGTAATAATAAATCAATTTAAAAATTAAACCCATAAGGGTTACACAGCACTGTGGAGATGGATGTGTGAAAGTAGATATGTGTAAAAGGTAAAAGTGAGGAGTAGGGGTGTGTGGTGGCAGGGGTTAATGCAACAGTAAAATTGAAATCAAAGATGGCAATCTAAGATGACAGAAACATATGCCTGCCAAATATAATTCCATTCATGGGAGCCTTTGCAGAAAAATGTACTAAGTGCATTACCTAGCACCGAGTCAATGAGTAGGATACTCACAAAATATATTTTCAAAACTTATGATCCCTTAATGATTCTTCGTGACAACTATCACATGTTACAAACCATAATTGCTACACTGCTTAACTTTACTTTCGAATAAATTTAATATCGTCATGAACTTCAGCTAGCCATGATTTAGCATTTTTCACTTTTTATTTCAGTGTTAAAACCAACAATTCCTACATCATCAATAAAACAAATTTTTGGAGACAAATAATATAAAATAACGACACGGTGGAGAAAGAGACACAAATGCAGTATAATTTCATACTTTACTGACAACATTGTCCACACAGTGGACTTAATGAAATCACAAACAGATTTGTTTGTGGCTTGATAAAGTCCAGTGTGTGAGCAAAACATTGTCAATAAAGGATTACATTATACATACTGCATTTGTCTCTCTCTTTCCAAAACAAATTCTTATATACAAATGTAAACATAAAAAAATTCATGAAGCCATATTAGAATTACTTACCTGACTAAACTGAATGTGTCTATCTACAAACGAGTAAAATGAGCTCTATGGTATATTGTGAAAAAAAAAGTGCATAATCATGAACTATAATAACACTTATCATATTAAGCCTATCAACAAATATAAATAAAATCAAAGCTTTTCCTAGGAGATGTAGCAAATTTACAATAGTAAATCTACAAGACCTCAAATGTTTTAATGGCCAATTAATTCTCTTTTAATTTTAATCATATCGTGTTTCAGTTAGTCTCTAATTTCATAAAAATCAATGAACACTAAGAGTACGAAGTCATTTACTCAACATATGGTTTCTTTATTTTTACTATGTGGATTTGTTTAATTTTTCTCAATTTATTTAAACACAATAAATATCTAGAAATATATTTAGTGCAAAGGATACTTCAGTCATAAATTCACTGATACACAATAGTAAATTAATAAATACCAGTGTTGGGAACAATGTACTAAGAGTGCTGTTCTTAGCAATTAGACAACATGATTACTCGAAATGCCCAATGTGTACAGTTGTGTTCATAAAGGTTTAAAAAACTGTGGAGTCAGAAATAGATATTGTTATGACCCATGCTTCTTAAGTACTAATCAAGGCCAAAAAATCGGTGATTATCCCACAGCCAATCAATATAGAAGTTCAACATGTGATCAGAGGGTCGGATCTTTCGCCACTCATTGACACAGAAAATTCTGTATGAATCATTTCCATATTTTCCAATACCATGAAGTTCCTTCGGGTAAACCCAGTCCTTTGTTAAGTACTCCTCTGAAACAAAATGCAGTAATTGTTAAATTCACAGAAGATTAAACTTAAACTTATGTTAAAGAGTAAAGCAATATAACTAATCTGAAGGAAAAATTAATACGAGTAATTTCTGACTAAGACAGGATGACCCAAAAAAAGAAAATATTCATAATAACTTACTCCACAGAAGTCATTCCTTCTGGTAAAACAGCTAGGAAGAAAGCAATTGTAAAAATAAAACATTCCCATAAAACTTGAAGTATGGGTAATTTAAGTCACACCTCCAAAACTCGTGTACAGCTAACCAACTCCACAGAATCCCTTCATATATATTACCATGCTTAAATTTTGCTGCCAAAGCACACGCATGAACATAAGATACGTAAAAACCTTAAGAACTAGGCCCCAAAACAGGTTAACAGATGGTACATATAGTTTTATAGATACAACTGTCTTATCTGTTGCAAACAAGTTTAGGATATTTGCTTAATTTGTCTGGCAGCTTATTTTAATTACAGTAATAAAATACCTTAACATATCACATAGGTTATTATACCTCTATATTCCTCAATAAGTATAAAATGAAGTACATAGTGTTCAAGAAAGTGACCATAAGAGAGATCACATATACTTTACATTTAGTTTGATCATCATTTGTGCATCTGCCAAACTGCCAGCTTATGCTGGCTTATATTCATTATCAGTGTCTTTGTTTAGTGGGAAGATTCATCATATAAAATACAGTAGGATACGTTCCAAGGACCTGCCGTGGATACCGAAACTGTGGATAGTAGTAAGCTCTATATATAAGTCCTATACATACCTATTATAAAATTTAATTGATAAATTATGTAGAATAAGTAGAGAATTATCACTTTTTCACTGATGGGAAGCATTTCATGGCTTCTCTCAGGCTTTGAAGAACTGCTATAGCTTCTCTTACTTTTGCTCTTTGGGGCCATTATTATGCAAAATTAGGAGGTATTTTTGGGCCACAGTAATCAGTGGACAACTGAAACCGTGGATACCAAATAAATGAATACAGGGGTTCTACTGTATGCAGTATTCTTCATCTGTTAACACTTTCACGGTTAACAGATCTCAAACTTGCTCTCAGGGTTGAAGAATTTAAAAAGAAAAAAAAAAATTATAAAATGATACAGAATCTTTTTTCTGAAGGTAATGAAACCAAAATTATGAAATTTGATGGAAAACTTACTAAATTACACTCTCACAAAGTTAGCAGTCTTGGCAATATATATGCATTGGCAATTTCACTTACTTTGTGCCCTATTTTGGGCCGATTCCATTGTGCCAGGCAACTAAACTCATACCTATTTCACTAGTATTCCTTCTATTCTATCAACTGAGTACAAGAAACTGCCCATTTACCTATTTCAACTACCCAATAAAGTGATGAGGAATCAGTAATGTGGCCAATTTCACACAAAATTCAAAAATTGCCAATTTAAAAATAGGGTCCAGAATAAACAATATAGACATTCCTGGCACTAACTAAATATTTGCTCTGTTCCTTAGTCATGTTTCCAGGCCCCTCTTATATTACACTTGGTTTCTATTTTGAATTTTTATTCACACAAAAAATAAAAAATTTACTGTTATGCAGACTACTGCATTATGGTAATAATTGTACAAACAATATTAGTGCATTCCTCAGTGCGTATTGTCCTGGCAAGCTAGATGCGTACTGGACAAGTGTAGAAAAACTACTTCAACTTGCCAAAATTTTAAGTTTGGTTCAGTCACCTGCTTCAAGAACTGACATTCCAGAATATCGACAAAAATCGAACATTTCCGCTATTTTGAGCTCAATTTCAAGCTGTGTTCAGCCCTGAAACCAGTCAAAATCATCTCTATTTCTGTAATACATCTTCCATTCTATCAAATGAGACCAAGAAACCGAGAATACAACCATAAAAACCAAACAAAAATACACCGCAAGCTGTTTTAAACCAAAAACACGGTCGCAGTTTTTTCTCATTATGCACTGCGTGCTGCAGGATTTTTTTTTATATGGTGCACACTTGTGTGGTAAGTGTGCACCATATATATATGGTGCACACTTACCACACAGACCCATTCTCTCATGTCTAGGCCCAAGTTTAGCACTCACATCTTATCTGAGTTAGCTGAGCTCATGGTGTTGTACTACAGGACCGATACTGAGCCACTACAGTGGACCCCCGGTTATCGGCCGGTTCAGTTATCGGCCAACTCGGTTATCGGCCAGTTTTTCGGCGCCCGGTTATCGGCCATTAATTCGGTTATCGACCATTTGGGAGGCACCCATCCACCAGCTGGGGCCACTTGCGAGTCAGTTTGGCTTTGTCTCTGGGTGAGTGAGGAAGCTTCTGCTCATTCATCCAAACATTTTGCTATAATCCATTGTTTGTTGTGGTTATTGATCAAGTACAACTGCAAAATATGCAACCATGGGCCCAAAGAAACACGTTACATAGTATATGAAAACATGCAATGTTTATATGCGATGTATTTAGATAAAGGTAGGGAAGTTTTTATTGCATTTATGGATTTAGAAAAGGCATATGATAGAGTGGATAGAGGAGCAATGTGGCAGATGTTGCAAGTTTATGGAATAGGTGGTAAGTTACTAAATGCTGTAAAGAGCTTTTATGAGGATAGTGAGGCTCAGGTTAGGGTGTGTAGAAGAGAGGGAGAATACTTCCCGGTAAAAGTAGGTCTTAGACAGGGATGTGTAATGTCACCATGGTTGTTTAATATATTTATAGATGGGGTTGTAAAAGAAGTAAATGCTAGGGTGTTCGGGAGAGGGGGTGGGATTAAATTATGGGGAATCAAATTCAAAATGGGATTTGACACAGTTACTTTTTGCTGATGATACTGTGCTTATGGGAGATTCTAAAGAAAAAATTGCAAAGGTTAGTGGATGAGTTTGAGAATGTGTGTAAAGGTAGAAAGTTGAAGTGAACATAGAAAAGAGTAAGGTGATGAGGGTATCAAATGATTTAGATAAAGAAAATTGGATATCAAATTGGGGAGGAGGAGTATGGAAGAAGTGAATGTTTTCAGATACTTGGGAGTTGACGTGTCGGCGGATGGATTTATGAAGGATGAGGGTTAATCATAGAATTGATGAGGGAAAAAAAAGGTGAGTGGTGCATTGAGGTATATGTGGAGTCAAAAAACGTTATCTATGGAGGCAAAGAAGGGAATGTATGAAAGTATAGTAGTACCAACACTCTTATATGGATGTGAAGCTTGGGTGGTAAATGCAGCAGCGAGGAGACGGTTGGAGGCAGTGGAGATGTCCTGTCTAAGGGCAATGTGTGGTGTAAATATTATGCAGAAAATTCGGAGTGTGGAAATTAGGAGAAGGTGTGGAGTTAATAAAAGCATTAGTCAGAGGGCAGAAGAGGGGTTGTTGAGGTGGTTTGGTCATTTTAGAGAGAATGGATCAAAGTAGAATGACATGGAAAGCATATAAATCTATAGGGGAAGGAAAGAGGGGTAGGGGTCGTCCTCGAAAGGGTTGGAAAAGAGGGGGTAAAGGAGGTTTTGTGGGCGAGGGGCTTGGACTTCCAGCAAGCGTGCATGAGCGTGTTAGATAGGAGTGAATGGAGACGAATGATACTTGGGACCTGACGATCTGTTGGAGTGTGAGCAGGGTAATATTTAGTGAAGGGATTCAGGGAAACCGGTTATTTTCTTATAGTCGGACTTGAGTCCTGGAAATGGGAAGTACAATGCCTGCACTTTAAAGGAGGGGTTTGGGATATTGGCAGTTTGGAGGGATATATTGTGTATCTTTATACATATATGCTTCTAAACTGTTGTATTCTGAACACCTCTGCAAAAGCAGTGATAATGTGTGAGTGTGGTGAAAGTGTTGAATGATGATGAGGGTATTTTCTTTTTGGGGATTTTCTTTCTTTTTTGGGTCACCCTGCCTCGGTGGGAGACGACCAACTTGTTGAAAAAAAAAAAAAAAAAAATTAATAATAATCACTGGTACATTAAATGTCTTATTTTACATTAATATAGACATTTTCATTAATCCATCTATTATGTCTTCTTCAAAATTATGTAAGAAACACGTTACATAGCATACAAACATGCAATGTTTATTATATGCGATATCTAATAATCACTCTTTGGCACATTAAATGTCTTATTTTACGTTAATATAGACATTTCATTAATCCATCTATGATATTTTCTTCAAAATTATATAAGAAACACGTTACATATCATGTAGCATATAAACAAGTGGAGAGTGGGATGGAGAGTAAACATTATGTTTTCTCTGATGCAGCGTTAGAGAAAACTGTGAATCTGGCAACTGGTGCAGTAACTGCCCTTCATATGCATTTGTTTACAATTCTTGGCATGAATTATTCATTACTTCTCCCTTTGTTTATGATGGCATCTAAAGGTAGTTGTTAGAAACGATTAAACTCAGTGAACATGGTAATAATTTGGCTGTGTAGTGTAATAATAGGGCATTGAAGTGTAGCCCAGTGGGGGGGGGGGGGGGCTACATACGTGTGCTGTACCCACATCTACCGCTACCTACACTGACTTCCTACAAATAAATACTACTCACCTCTTGCCCTACATTAAGACTACAAATATTTTAAGGTTAGTAATGAATGTACTGTAGCAGTAAATGACAGGTTAAAGAGGTGTGTGCAATGTGGACTAGGGTGCTAGCTTTTGTAGAGAAACACCACCCTGACCAAGCTGAAACAAGCCATATCTGCGACATGTTCAGTGACAAACCCCTATCCCACTTCAGGAAAATCTTAGAGAGATGCCAGAAACAGACCTCTATGGACAGATTTGTTGTGAGACAGGGGTCCAGTGACTTTCAAGCTGTTCCTAGTAGCATTAAAAGACAAAGAAGGGAAGTAACTCCAGAGAAGGCTTTGATACCTAAAGTCTTTATGGAGGGAGATTCCCCTTCCAAATACTAACTCCTCCCTCTTTCCTCATCCCTATCTTCCAGAAGCCAGCATTAGCCTTCAATAAAGGTATGTAAAACTTACATAATTGTTAAAAAAAAAAAAAAAAAAAATTTGTGAATATTTTTGTCTGGAACGGATTAATTGTATTTCCATTAATTCTTATGGGAAATATTAATTTGGTTTTCAGCTGACCTTCTGGAATGGATTACGGCCGATAACCGAGGGTCCACTGTATATAAAGGGACAGACACCAAAAGGGTTAAAGGTTCTAGGAAAGTGCTGACATCCTAGTTGGATGAATCTTATTGAAGCTAGCTGGCCCAGTGGCCAACACGACGGTCTGGAGTTTTGAGACTCTCTGACCGCAGGTTCAAACCCCACCCGTGGTATGGTTTGTTTGCAATCGTGTCGTTACGATTTCGTGAGTCATTCTGGCATACAAGTGTGAAGCGGAAACCTGTTAAATATTTTACACTGGCAGAATTGTTGGGCTTTTCTCTCTCAAACACATAAAACAGAAGGTACAGTAAGTCTTATAAATGCCTACTTACCATCAGTCTACACTTTACTAATGTACATTTCATAGTAATTTTTATTCCTTTGGAATTATGGCTATACATTGACAAATGGTAGTGAAAAGAACTTACAGAAAAGAACATTTTATCTGTACACAGTTTCACCCACTGGTGGCTTTAAAGTACAGTACAGTGTACTTGATAAAAGTAAAAGATTCTTTACTATAAGCATTTTTCTACTATTAGTTGTTAATCTTGGGCTTTGACCAGGTCACAGGGTCAACAAGTCCTGGACCCATTAACAGATACAATAGATATGTACTCTACATTATACAAAATGGCTACTAATGCTGGATTCTAAACAAACCGAAACTTCTTCACTCCACAAAGAGCATGCACCAAGCTTTACAAATTTTCAAAATTAACTAAGACTAACCTGAAAAACGAATAATCATTTTTGCTCTTTTTTCGTGAAGACCCAGAGGTTGAATAAGATTAGCAATTTCTTCCCATGATGCCATAACTGTATCATTAGGAGTTGGCCATCTCTCAAGAAACTGCCACAATATATTTTTACCAAGAGCTTCTTCACCTGAAGAAAAAAATTATTAAAAAATAGTAAAATAACATAGTATCTTAAATTTAAATTTTACATTAGTAAATTACATACAATATGTCATGGAAGACTAAAAATTATATAGCATACAGTGATTCATCAACACAGTTTTGAAGCATGAAAACCTGCCATGTTAAGGGTTCCAAGAACCATCATAGGAATAGTGACCTGTATGTTTAACCTCTCAAACATCAGTAATGGACTCGGAAACCACATCAGCAACTATTTGGTTACCTTTCCAGTGCAGAGGGAAACTTTCTGTAAGGCATGGTAGGGGAAGAAACAGTACATATAATGTCAGAGTATAGTGTCTTCCAGATCTCTGAAAGCATCCTGTATCCACCGACTTACTGGAGATCATTATGAATGGTTTAGACAATGTTTCTGTGCCCTATTGCAGAAACTCATCAACAAAATAACTGCTACAGCAAATGTGCATCAAGCAAATCTAACACCAGTTTTTAGACATTTAAGTAAGGCATCCACAATATACTGTATACCAAGTATGTCAGGTACCAGTATGGAACCCACACCTAGTCAAGCATGTCAAAAAATTGGAGAAAGTGCAGAAGTTTGCCCCGAATAAGAATAGTGAAGAAAAAACCTAAAAAGAAAGCCGTAAGAACCACCAATGAACTAAAAAAGGAACTTATTTCAAAACATGAAAATGGAATACGTCTTGTCGACCTAGCCAAGGAATACGGCATGTTAACATCTACCACATTTTCCATGATAGAAAATAAAGGTGCAATAAAAAGAGCTAATATGGCAACAGGAGTTAAAATTCTTGCAGGGTTCATGTATGATTTCTTGCTTGTACATGATGTTATTTTACAAGTTTAATTAACCAATATTCTGACTTAAAAATGGTTTGCGAAGAGCAACTTTCAGGGGTCCAGAACGAATTAATCCAATTTACATTATTTCCTGAAGAAAAAAAACTGATCCAATATTCAGAAAATTCACTATTCAGAACACTCTCAGGAACCAATTAATTCCGAATACAGAGGCACTACCACAACAACTTATGTTTTTGCTGTATATTCAACAGTTATGGAATTAAGTGTTAGATATGGAAACCTCATGGTTTATTCTTGATAAAAGAACATTGGCAAAGCTTACTTGCACACTTTAGTATTTGGTGAAGAAATGACACTTATTGAGAACTAACTAGGTGATGGCATTTAGGTCTATCCTGGACTACTATTAAGCCACCACCTGACTGGTTTTTATAAATAATAGACAATTTAAATGAGATAATTTGAGTATCAGACAACACCCAACCAATTTTATTAAGTGAAGATGCTTTTGATATAGTAACCCATACCTGTAGTCCTGTTGAGGAATATGGTCCCAATAAGAAGTTTCCATGGATCATGATAGAGAGACTCTTGGAAGAGATTGAATGGTGAGCGCGGAGGATTCCATTTGGCTGTAGCTTTTAATCTTACTCGACCCAGTGTGTCACCTTTCATTTTGAAGTATTCACTCTTCTTGTCATCAACTTTTGCTTTCTTTAACAACGGTCCTATAAAAGGGAAATATTAAGTCCAACATTAATTTGTTATAAACTGAGCTACATGTACACACTGTTCCACATATCTAAATTGTCTAGACAGCAAGAGAACATTAAGTATAACCAAGAGTATGGTAGAAAGACACTTGGTGCAGAGGAAAACTTTATTATGGACAAAGGTTTTCTCTACACTAAATGTCAAAATACAACGGTTGTTGTCAATACCTGATATTCTACATATAACCAAGAGTGTTATATTTTCTCAAGTGAATAGTGGGTATGGTACAGTGATGTATAGTTATGGTTCATTTGGGGGAAGTAGTACTTTGTACAGCATTAAACATATCTGGAAGAATGTACAGTGGACCCTCAACCAACGGCATTAATCCATTCCAGAGAGCTTGCCGTTAGTCGAATTTGCCATTGGTCGAATTAATTTTCCCCACAAGAAATAATAGAAATAGAATTAATCTGTTCCTGACACCCCAAAGTCTGAAAAAAAAATTTTTTTACATGAAATATACATTTCCTTATGCCAAAACGAATGGGACATGCAAAATAAACAATAATTAAATGCCACTTTGGCTTAGCGCTTCTTTTTGATTATAATAATAATAATAATAAATGCCACTTACCTTTATTGTGGAGTTGTTGATGAGTGATGTGCCAGCAGCAGGGGAGATTCAGGATTGTCTATTGCTTGGAAGGAGAATTCCCTTCCATAAAGACTTCAGGTACCAAGTCCTTTGGTGGGGTTACCTCCCTTCTTGGTTTTTTAATGCCACTAGGACCAGCTTGAAACTCACTGGACCCCTGCCGCACAAAATATCTGTCCAGAGCTCTTTCTCACGTGCCCTTAGGATTTCCCTAAAATGGGACACAAGAGTGTCAGTGTACATGTTGCCAATGTGGCTTGCAACTTCTGTGACAGGATAAAATTTATCGATAAATGCTTGCACCTTTGTAAACACTGAACACATTTCCCTAATCCTTGATGAAGTCATCTTCCTCCGTCTATCTTCATCCTGCTCTGAAGAACATTCCTGAGATGTGATCTGTTGCTGTTGTACCTGAAACTCTTGCAGGTCTGCAGTGGTTAGTTCTTCCTCGTCGTTCTGCACGAATTCTTTTACATCCTTGTCACAAACCTCCAACCCCAAGGACTTCCCCAATGACACAATAGCTTCCACTACTGGCATAGCCTCCTGAGGGTTAGCCCCAAACCCTTCACAATCCCTCTGTTCTACACAATCTGGCCACAGTTTCCTCCAAGCAGAGTTCAAGGTCTTCTTAGTCACTGAGTACACTGAAGTGATCTTTCCAAAACTCCCTTAGGGTCAACTGAGTGTCTGAGATCACTTCAAAGCACTTTTGAAACACTGCTTTTGTGTAGAGTTTTTTGAAGTTTGAAATGACCTGCTGGTCCATGAGCTGGAGGAGAGGAGTTGTATTAGGGGGCAAAAACTTCACCTTAATGAAACCAAACTCCCCTGCAATTTCCTCTTGCTAGGCATGAGGATGAGCAGGAGCATTGTCCATTACCAGGAGGTGCTTGATTAACAACTTCTTTTCCTGGAGGTAATTTTTCACAGTGGGGCCAAACATACCATAAAACCAGTCCAAGAAAAATTCTCTAGTGACCCATGCCTTACTGTTTGATCTCCACAGCACACACAAATTACCCTAGACGATATTGTTTTTCTTGAACACTCTGGGAATATCAGAGTGATACACCAATAAAGGTTTCACTTTGCAATCACCACTAGCATTACTACACAACATTAATGTCAGCCTGTCTTTCATAGGCTTATGTCCTGGGAGTGCCTTTTCCTCCTGAGTAATGCAGGTCCTGTTTGGCATTTTCTTCCAAAACACGCCTGTTTTGTCACAATTAAACACTTGTTCAGGTTTTAAGTTTTCAGTCTCTATGTATTCCCTAAAGTCCTTCACATATTTTTCAGCAGCATTTTTGTCTGAACTGGCTGCCTCACCATGCCTTACCACAGTGTGTATGCCACTACCAATCTTAAATCATCAGCAGCAGCACTATTTTGAGGCATTTTCTTAATGAGATCATCATGCAACTTCCTTGCCTTTTCACAAATTATAGACTGAGAAACACTATCACCTGATGATTGTTTTTCGTTTATCCATACCAATAACAATCTCTCTACCTCTTCGATTATTTGCAGTCTCCGTTTTGAAAATATACTTGAACCTTTCACAACAACAGCTTCCTTGATTGCCTGTCTGTTCGTCAAGATAGTACTGATGGTTGAATGTGATTTGTTGTATTGCCTTTCCAACTCAGCCATACAGACTCCACTCTCGTATTTTTCAGTGATCTCCTTCTTTATTTCCATTGTAATTCTCACCCTTTTTAACACAGGCTTGGCACTAGATGCTTTCTTGGGGCCCATGGTGGCTTATTTAGCAGTTACAAGCACTAAAAACAGTGGAATAATCCAAAATATATGGGAGGCACATGTGGAAGCCGACCGCAACAGCTTGTAAACAATGGCACACTGAGTCTTGAAGTGGCTGGCCTGCTCAGGCCGCACTCCAGGTACATGGACATGTTCCAGACGAACATCATTGGTAGAGTTTTTCGCCGTTGGTTAAGATATTTTTTTTACGCCAAAAAGCGCCGTTAGACGAAATTGCCGTTACTTAATGCCGCCATTAGTTGAGGGTCCACTGTACTTAGATCATATAGCGAATTTTACTAGTCAATAGATATAACTCTCAATATGTAATGGGAAGTGAAGCAGGGAGGAGGCTGGTTGCCTCCTTCCCCAGAAGTCAGGTCTGTATTAAGAGAAAAACCACTATATTGATGCCAGGGTCTTAGTTTACCTATCCCTTTGCCCTTCCAAACTATAAAGTTTATTCCTGGAAATACTGCAGCAGACACCTATGACAGTAACTTTCAGATAATGAATTTAAATGAGTGTGAGAAGTATGACTTGCCTAATTAACCTGTTTGTAGTTAAAGGAGAAGAGCTATGCTCATAGTATCCAGCTTAAAGAACAAAAAGGCACAATACCGTGACTGGAAGAATACACAAATAACCCGCAAATAGGAGAGAGGAGCTTACAACGACGTAACTTGGACCATTTACAAAGTCCAAGTCAGAACGAAATGTTGTCATAAGCTCCTCTCTCCTATGTGTGGGTTATTTGTGTATAGTATCCAGCTTTCTTTAATTATAAATATTATGAGAGTTTCCAGTGGTATTGGCACTTATACTACCTTCCCTTATGTCCATTTCAACTATCTACCTTAGTCTGTTAAGTACCATCAGTCATTATATTATCATGTCCATGAAATGTGCTAAACCCATAATGGACCACTACCTATTGTTTATATACCATTTTTGTCATTTAAAAATGTGACCTGTTGTTGCCTCAAATAATCTTCCCCTATATATTATGTATAAGAAAAGGTTGTGTAATATGAACATGCAATTACCTTTGAGAGTTTGTAGAAGGATGAATTCCAAGTCTTGGCTCTGCTTCTTAACTTTATACTAACTGACATGTTTGAGCTATCATATCTATTTTAATAGAGTTCTCTTCCAGTGTGCCATTTCTTAGCTCATAACATGTACAATATTTATCACTCTTACACTTAAAAAATACTCCCTATATCCTTGTGGCCAATATGCGCATTTAATTTCCAACCCTGCCCCCTTGTTCTTGTTGTGTCACTGGCTAAGAGGTTATCCTCATCTACTCTGCCCCATAGTATGCTTTGTCTAATAGCTGGACAGCATGAACACAAGAACTCTATGGATTTTACAATTCCCTAGTATCATCTATTTAACTCAACATATTAACACAAGGCAGAAGGGTACATGAAAGTCTAGCAAACTAAGACTTGAAAAAATCAGCCTAACATAGATGCTACTCCTATGATGTTGCAAATGCAACAGACAGAGAAATAGTGGAGAATGTTAATGTGCGTGAGCATTCAGTGAGGAACTGGGTGAAGCATTTCAAGACTGGTGGGGGTATCGAGTTACCGTCTGCCAAACCTCAGCCTGGCCCCTCCCAGTAGACATCTGTTCATACCTTAATTGTGTTAAAGCAGCAGTTAGAAAGCAACTGCTTCTTTAACACAGTTAAGGTACCAACAGATGTCTTCCTCGAGGGGCCAGGCTGAGGTTTGGCAGATGGTAATTCGACACCGCCACCAGCCTTGAACCGCTTCCCAGTTCCTCACTGAATGCTCACACACACTAACATTCTCCACTATTTCTCTCATCTGGTGCCCAGCTTTGTGAAGCCCTATGATTTGAGCTATAGTTTCAGGTGTTAAAGACTTCCTTTTACCCATAATCAAACATGTATAGCCCCAAAACCAAAGTGAACACTGGACAAAAGATGGGGTGGATGCGAGACAAACATGCAACACTTCCCCTCACCATGGCATCCACGTGAGCACTGATGAGTTACTTTGCAGTGTGGCAGCAGGCCGAGACGTCATGCTAATGGCTGCTACCTGCCATAATGCACTAACGAAAAAAGACCCCCTGTATGGTAGGCCTTTGATTTTCGTCACGGCATTATACCAGGGCGCTCACCCAGCATAATGCCGTGATGAGCACTGTATATAAGTTTCTTAAGAGAGTTCCTGATAACATGATAAAGATTTTATTTCTTTGCAAAGGTTACAGTGTAATTACAATTTTGATATGTTAAGTACAAAGAAAGCCACTATCAATGCTGGGGGCATTTTGGGCTGACTAATCCTAATACTTATAAACTACTTAAGTCTAGACAGGATAAGAGTGGTTATCTTTTTAATTATTTATTATTTTATCTTAATACTAATGTGAGGTAGTCAAAGTTGAAGGTTTATAAGAATAATAATCTTGGGCTGTGGTACTTACACTGGACTGTTTGCTGTTAGCAAACAGTCCAACATATCAGATCATCAACCAGAAGGCCTGGTCTGGAACAGGATATTGTTGGCAATAACCCTAAAATCAACATAGGCAAATCCACTT